TTGCTCTGTCAGGAAATTTCTTCTTTGGTATGCTTGCTTGTTGAAGTTTAGGAATTGTGAAATTGGCCTCAATGGTTTTTCAGTTATGCTAAATCAGTTACTTTTTCTGCTGGTTTCATGCATCAGATAAAGTCTTAGATCCTTTAACTATGACTGTCGAATGCTTGTCTTTCACCCCTTAAACCTGGCAGCTTGGCTGCTTTTAGACGCAGGTCTGTTGCCTTTCAAATGGCAACTATGAGGCAGCGCAAGATGGCTTCAGCCAGGTTCACTTCAGAATTCTGAATAGCCTTAGCAGCCTTACTAAGATGGAGAATATTGCACTGGCAGCTTATCTTTTGGGGCAGTTTGAAGTTAGTAAAGCCTATATACCAAGTTCTTGTTCACGTTCACCCAAGTTCACGGCTCAAGTAAGTGAAAGGCATGTATTAAAATGCAGTTTAATAAAGCAGAGCTGTTGATTAACAAGGGCCTGCCTCATATAGTGGAAAGATGGAACAGAAATTTTATTTGGATGAAGCCCAATAATTGTTGCTTTGGCTAATCTTTAGGTTTAACACTGTTAATTAATTGTGGATTGATACTGATAGCACAACTGCTATGTCAAGTTTGCTATGTTGGGGAAATGTTTCCAATTTAACAAGCAAACCAATTCAAACCTAAGAGTATGCTTGAAGGCAAAGTTCTTCCAACTTCGTGAGTTACATCGTGGCTGGTGTGTCCCAAAGGTGCTTTTCAAATATTTTGCTTCTCATCCAAGAAGCTTCTTCAGTTCTGATAACCATGAGCTCATGATTGAGAATCTCCATAGACATGGCTGGTATGAGTATGAAATTTAAGTCTTCATACTTACTTAGAATATATTTGGGTTAAATATACTTAGAATATATTTGGTTTAAAACAAACTCAAATCTATATCCAATTATCCTTGTTCTAACAGATTCTTTTTTTAAATAAATAGTAATATGAATTCTCTTTCCCCCCCCCCAAAAAAAGTTGAACAGGACATCTGCCAGTGAATTAAATGCATTTGTCTGAATCCATACAATTTTCAGTTTACATTGGAAAAGTTTACAATTGGTTTATAATAACTAAGAAATTTAAACTGCCAAATTTACAAAATGTTGTTTTAATAATTTATATTTATTTATGCAGTGGCCTTACTCTTATTTCACAAAATGTATTCAAATTTTGTGTAGTGAAATGTGCAAAGGCGATTACATCTTATTGGAAGATGTATATTTTTTTCAAATAGAAACAATTTGTGGTTATGTGTAAATCTATTTTCAAACGAACAAAATTATGAAAACCAATTTTTAAAATAAGCCATTAAATTGGCAATTCTGAAACGATGACATGATGTTGAACTTTAAATATCATTAAATTATAAATTGTTCTGCTTCTTGGATGCTAGCTAACCTGCGTATAATGGAATATATTTCTTTCACGAACAGATATTGGTATTTTAGAATGGAAGACAACATATTGAAATGCAGGACTGAGGCAGGGACACCAATCAAACTTTGCTATCCAGAGCTCAGCTGTTCCCTTTTTCTTTTGGAGGGACTCCTACCCCAAAATTCAACAGCAACATTTCTTTGCAGAAGAGTTTTTTTTCAAAAAAAAAATTTTTTTTTTTTTTACTTTATCTTTTCCCTGTGCACTTTGGGCAGGTTGATTATTGATTTTTATCACTTCCTCTGAATAGTGCTGTGACTCTCCCAAAGTCATGGTAAACAGACCTAAGCAGTTTCAGTGTAGTCATTTTAATGATAGATAGGACTGGTTGATCTTTTAAGAATTAATTGAATTCACACTGGATCATTATGGCGCATATTTTTGTTTGCAGTTTTCTCTGTTGGGCACAATTTCTTCAAATACTGTTTTCATGGGCATACACATTTCTGTACTGACTATCCCCTAATTCATTTTTCCCATTTCTTAATATGGAAATTTCAAAAACGTATTTAGTAACTTCAGGTTACTAAATTTCAGTTCAAAAATATGTCTAAAAGTTCAAAATAAAAACACAGAATGAATTTCCACCTGCTTCCTACTTAGTATCACTAATACTCTTTGCTAGATAAGGAGTTCAGTTATATTGTCCCAAACAATGCAGTTATTGCTGAATTACATGTCAGAGACAGTGTGCTATTTTGGTCAGCGTTCTTCCTTCTTTGAAATATTTTTGTATTTGGAGCTCTTATTCACTTTGGCATCTCTGATTTAGAGCCACAGAGTATCTTTTTGAGTGACTGAAAAGTGCTCCAAAGCACCAATTTGCTTGGGAATAAATTAGCTGGCAGTTCTAGTTCCAAGCAATTTTACAAACCAAATAGTGTTCTTTAGACAATTTAGTGTGTCTTAACGAATCATGTAAGAATGTTATATAATTTTGTAAATGAAATTTTTATGAAGGAAGACTCTTTTAAGACAAACCTAAGGAATTCCATGCCCTGCTTCTGAATTAAAGTTAGGGTTTCAGTAAAAAGGATTGTGTATTTCAACTGGATTAAAATAGATGAAAAAATATTTTATCAAACCTTACTGATAAAAATCTTAAGGAGTTGCACTGACTTTTAGAAATCCTTTATGTGAAAAGCAATACTTAAAAAAAAATAATAATCTGACCTACATGGGGAAAATGTGTGATAAAGCAGTTTTATATATTTGCTATATTTACTATTTATCATATTCATTCTGCTGTAACATTATTAGTTACAGCAGCTTTTCCCAAACTGGCACCAATTTCACAAAGTTCAGGTTACACTTCCTTATTTTTTTTAAAAAATGTATTTTAAACCGTATGAAATAATTTCTTTAAATAAAGTCACCTTTTTTATAATAAAAAACTATAGAACATTTTATGCAATTGCTAACACTTCGGGTACCACTATTTATATTTTTGCATTTGTCGTACATACATGTAATTTTTTTTTTTTAATTTGATTTATAGGCTACCCTTCTCCAGAGACTTAGGGCGGCTTACAATGCGTTAAGCAATAGCCTTCATACTTTTGTATATTTATACAAAGTCATCTTATTGCCCCCACAAACTGGGTCTGAAGGTTTATTGCCAACCTTCTGTAATATAATAATTGAAAAGCACAAATAAGGGAGCAGGGAACTAAAGCTTTGCTGAAATATGTTTATACTTCAGTTTTCAGCTTAAAACAGAAAACATTTTTGGCTTCCTGAGCTTCAATCATAACAAGACAGAAATTAATGATATCTTAATAGTAGTTTTATCAGCAGGGTGTCCACACTATATAGCCAGTGAAATCAATTGACATAACTTCATTTCCTAGAAAAAAAATTTTTTTTTTTTTGAAAAAAAAAAAATCCAAGTAGAAGGCAACAAGAAATAAAGATGCTTTAATTATTTCTTGCCAATAAAAAAACCTGCTCTTCGCTGGTAATTGGCAATTATGATTAAAAAAAAAAAACACCCAGCTGGCTGGGCTGTTTTGTTTTTTTTTCCTGGCAAGCAAGAATAAGATGTCTATGGCATTTGAGCGCATGCAGTGATAGCTCTACTCGGGGCCTGCTCAGTAGCAGCATCAGAACACCAGCAGGTCAAGGAAGGTGTTATGCAGTAGAGTTATGGTGGAACAAATCTGACAGCATCGCTCATGACAAAACTAAACTTAAATATTACTGAATTTTGCCCTACTTCCCTGTCTCCATTCTTTGCCCTGCAAGTATATGATACTATAATCCTTTTTTAAAAAAAGCTCTTAAGACTTTTAAACAGATAGATAAAATCTAAGGTAACAGTAAACAGAAAAAGAAAAGCAAAGTAAAAGCAAAAAACGTAAGAAAAGGAAAAAAAATAAAGAAAATAAAGAAAAAGGTATAAAGACGTAACTTTCAGTATTCTTCACGACAGTTATAAGTGCAAATATATTTTAACCTCTCTTTCTAAAGTTACATTATATTTCTACAGTCTTTCTTGTCTAATTGTCAAAACCCTAAGTCACAAGTTCATCTTTTCCCTCATTTTTATGCAAATGTCCGTAAGAGGCTTCCATTCACCAATAAATGTAAATAATGCTTTTTCTGTAATCAAATAAGTTGATTTATCCATTTCAGCAAATCTGTCAACTTAACCAACTATTCCTCCTTAGTGGCTGGTGTTGAATCTTTCCTTCTCTGTGCCTAAAGTAATCTTTCTGCTGGATCATATATTGAAATAATCTTTTACGGGTGTTTTTTCTAACTGCTTGTTCATTAATCGTAAAGTTCTGGCTTCAACGGAATATTAATCTTTAAAATTCAGTGTATCAAAGTATATATTGGGATCCAAAAATTTTCAGCCTTTTCAGCTTGTTCATCAAGCGTGATAAAATGTCCTTTCATGTTGTTCATAATGCCAGCATACATTTGAAGTGCCTTGATGCATACTAGATGATATAATACTGAATATTTGTATCTTTTTAACCTCTCTGTTGCCAGTTACTAAGTCCAAAGGTTGTATTTGCCTTCTCACTTCCTGGTTTTTTAACTTCTTTCTGGTAAAGGGTTAAAAAAAACCTGCAGGGGCACAGTAGGATTTGGTACCACCATTAATGTGTGGCATGCCAAGCTTCTTGTCCACTTTTGCATTTTTTTACTTTCCTAGGAAACTCTAGGGCATGGGTGGGGGAACCATGGCCCTTTTATGACTTGTGGGCTGGCTCAGGAATTCTGGGAGTTGAAGTCCACAAGTCATAAAAGGGCCATGGTTCCTCTGCTCTAGGGCAACAAAGAAGAATAGCCACAGAGAGCATGCTGATCCCAAACAAAGCGGTCTCCTTGTGGCTTAATATAATTCCATTAGGTTTCTATACAAATGGCATTCTGCCTTCCTTCCTTCCTTCCATGACACAGTAATAGACAAAACAGGCCAAGGATGTACGATCTGAAAGTCGAGTTAACTCATGTGTTTTTAAAAGTAGGCAACCGTCTAGTCCAACTATACGGTCATTTGCATGATCAAGTTGCTTTTTTTCATTGTGCAGGTTTCTTATGCACGGCCAAGCTCAGCTTCTATTAGAGATGCAAACCTGTACGTCAGTGGTCTCCCAAAAACTATGACTCAGAAAGAGCTAGAACAGCTGTTTTCCCAATATGGACGTATTATTACTTCCCGCATTCTCGTTGACCAAGTCACTGGTAAGTAGAAAGCTGCTCTGCCCTGTCTTTCTCAGCCTTCAAAATATTGAATATATAAAAGTTTATGTGGGGCAGAAAATACAATTTTCTGCTGGAATTGTTCATAAATATGCATGGATAAAAATAACTCCTGGTTTGTAGTCAGGCAAGGCTGAGTCATTTCCACCTTGAAGCTGCATATTTGAAGCCTGTTTCATGCCTTGTAATAAATTTATAGTTGCTGTAATCTCAAGCATTGAATGAAGAAAATGTTCCTTGTAAAATGCTAAAAAAACAGTGTATATTTTAAAAGGGGGGAAAAAGTAAAGCCTTGTATTGTAGTGATTCTTAGCAGTTTCCTTAAACTAAGAAAATGTGAAATGTAAACTCATAATCATCATTTAGGCTTTAAAACAAATCTTACAATTCCCATTTTTCAATGTTAGGATAATGCAAGATCCTGAGAAAAACTAATTAATTTAAAAAAATAAGACTGAAAGGAAGATTGACTAGATACATAAATTTTGAGGTCATTTTTATTGAACCCGATTTTTGTTCTCCAGGTATTGCCAGCTCAGTGAATACATTGGTCTTGTTATTTTTCGATATATGATATGAATGAAGCAATTTAATGCATTGGGCAGATTATATTAGAATTTGAGTGCTTTATTTTCATAGAAATTATAAAATATTAGGAAAGTATTCATTAGGCTTCTGTAAGCACTTAAATTTTAACAATTTGATTGGGTTCCTTTAAAAGTTTAAACCAAGTTTCAAGCAAAAAAAGGGGGGGTACATCTGTGGCTTGTTTTAATAAAACAATTTTAAAATAACACTTGGGTTCCATTTAGTGCAAAAATAGCATGCATCATTTTGTTTCCCACAGGAATGACGAAAGAAATCTGCTTCTCAAAAAACAAGGTTTTCTATGATGGTATAATTAGATTTTTATTTTATCTTTTATTTTTATTTTTGGCATTAAATTGATGGGGTTACATCAGCTACTAGGATTTTTTTAAAAACAGTTTTTGATTGCAAGCAAACAACTACCATGTTTCCCCGAAAATAAGACAGGGTCTTATTTTCTTTAGGCTTGAAAATAAGCACTTGAGCTTATTTTCAGGGAGGTCTTATTTTTTTGGAGGTACAGGAGGCGGCGAGTGTGGTCACCTCATGGTTGCTTGGCCCCTTAACTGCTTAAAATTACTATATATTGCTAATATCTTATTTCTTTCTTAGTCATCACTGTTGATAGAAACAATTGATTAATGGATCACAAGTTGCTGCAGCCAAGATTTCAGAACTACTTATCTGAACTTAAATGAGCTGCCTCTTTAAAGACAAAAAACATCTCCAAAATTTTGAAGCTCTGGGGAAAGAAACGACATTTTTAGAAAAATAGTTTTTGCAAAATAAACTTTTATAGTGTAGTAAATATTCCTATATTAAATGTAGCAGTATAAATTCTATCGTAATACAAAATTGCCATTTGATATATTCATAAATAAATAGAATAATGCCCTTTACCTTTCTAATAGCACAATGCTATGCAAATCCTAATGAATTCAGCGGAATTGATCCTTGGTAAATATACATAGAATTGTAGCTTCACCAAGTATTAATTCTTTTGGCTACAATTTTGTGTATAAGATATGGGAATAAGTCTCACTGAACACAGCAGGAGTTTCTTCTCTAAGTAAGGAAGCCTAGGATTGCTGTGCCGGGTTTCTCGGAGGCTGCCTTCATCATAATCATTTTAAGGGAGAGATGAAAAGGTCTGTTACTAGATCAAAACGGCATCTAATAAAGGATAGTTTCCTCTAATAACGCCAGATTAGATCAGAAGTTAGCAGAACAAAGCAAATAGCACTTTACAAGCAACAAGAAAAGTGGGGGAAAGCCACATATCCTCCTTGCATGAAAAAAAGGAAAAAAGCAGGTCTGTCCATTTTGCCTTGCTCCCTTTTTCAATTCCAAATTAAATATCTAAAACCTTCATATTCCTTGACTAAGAGAAATAAGGCTGTTTGGAGATTGCAGGCTTCTGAGGATAATATCTCTTTACCTTGAGAATAAAAGTGTTTTGCTGCAGGAGACAAGCTGGAAGAAGTATGCGGTGATAGCATAAGACAGATGGTTACCTAAGTAGTTATAAGGTTACTTGTTATAAAAGTCTACTCTAAAGTCATCAAAATAGTTATTTCCCCCCCCCCCTCAGATTATTAAATCTTTTCTCTGTCTTTCGCCCAGTAATAATAGCAACAGTTTTAATGCAGATATCCTATAAGCTTTCCAAGACTGTCAGTTGTATTACTTTAAATAGACGTATAACTACGTTTTTGTATGTGTGTATTTATTTACTGCATTTCAGTCCTCTCACTTCAGATTTATTGGTGGTTTGGGAGAAGTTGTCATTTTACAGCACAGATGAAAATCAATAATATATCTAGAAGCTTTTGTGTTTCAATATGTTGAACTTAGTTTCCATAGGCTTTTCATCTGTATCAATATTTTTGTACATTTGTACAATATTTTTTATATATATATTTTAAATTGCACGATACCCAGGTCCGTCCATTCCCCCGAGAGCTCAAGAAATATGTCAGGGAATCTTCCTTAAATTAGAATTGCTTCTAAACCACAGCTACACAAAGTAGGATGGGCTGACAAAGAATAGAGTAAAATTGTTCAAAGAGCTCTGTGGTCAGTTGGGATTTGAACAATGGTCTCTATGGTGCTATAACGATTAGGCCAGGGGTGAAATATACTTACCTTCCCTACCGGTTCAGAAGTGCGTGCACGTCATGTGCTATTTTGGACCCTGTGCACATGTGCAAAGCCGCCTGCGCATGCGCAGAGGGTCAAAAACAAGTTACTTCCTGGTTAAAACCAGGAAGTAACAATGTCCAGGTGGGTGGGCAGAACTTTGCACTGCCACCGCTACCAGCTCACCAAACCACGTACCGCTGCCGATTCACTTGAACCAGTGCAAACCGGTAGCATTTCACCCCTGAATTAGGCTGTATTGTCTCTAGTCCTTCACAGGTATTTCAGGATGAAGTGTGTCCAATAGATTCCCCTTTCCTGCTCCCAGCCATACACGATCACATACACACATTCTCTTGCAACTCTTCATGTCACAGACTGATGTTTCATTTAACTGTAAGAAAGCAGGCAATTAATAATCCTGGATGTACTTTGAATTCATGAAAATTTCAATACACTGTTCTGGGTGTCTCCCTGTATATTAGTTTGCAACAACATTAATTTTCCTATTGGATTTTTTTCTGTAGTAAAATTTCTTGTGCAAGTTGAATGGCAAAATAGAAATGTCTGATCCTACTATCTGCTACAAAAATTCCCTTCTACTGGTTGGGTTAAAGCTGCCCGGATCTGAGGACTTTTCATCCATTCTCTTGGATGGGGTAGCATTTCCCAATTAAGGCTGTTGTGCAGTCTGAGGGTCCTCTTGGACTCACACCTCCTGCTCAAAATAGCAGGTGGCAACTCTATCCAATTCTACCCTTTGCTTAGCTCTATCTGATGCAGTAGTTCAGGAAGCTTTTCAATGAGTCTCAATCTTAGTCACCTTAAGGTTTGATTTGCAGTGCACTCTACATGGGCTAGCCTTGAAAAACAATTGGAAGTTTCCACCACAGAATGCAATGATTTGGGCATTGATGGACAGTATGTTCATATGATGCATCTCTTCCATGAGCTGCACTGGTTAACAGTCTGCTTCTAGGTGCAATTCAAGTTACTGGTTATTACCTACAAAACCCTTCATGGCATGTGGGCAGATTATTTAAGGAACCACCTAGCTCCCATGGTTTCTGCATGGCCGGTACATGCTAGCAGAGTTGACATGCTCTGAGTCAGCTAGCGAGACCCAGGAAGCCACTTTCTCTGTTGTAGCACCCATCCTTTGGAATGAGATTCCCCTGAAATCTGTGGGCTCCCAGCCTGTTCGCATTTCATAAAACCTTGCAGTCGTGGTTGTTCTCCCTCTTGTTATTTTTATTTTGTCTGTATTTTGTGTCTGGATCCCATCTTGGTTTTGGTTTGCGTTGGTTTTCATGTAGTTATTTGTGAACCGCCTAGAGTTATTTGGACTTGGAAAGTATCTAAATTAAAATAAATAGCTTAATGTGAATATGTCACATTATACAAAACCCAGAGCTATCTTTATAACTAGATTTAATATTAAGCTGGGTATGGTATTTATTTGTTATGGCAGTAGAATAGATGTTTCTGTGTTGTTTCAAATAGGCAGCTCTAGGCAGCTTGTAATAAATAATTAAAAATTGTCAAATATAGTAAAAACAATAGGAACTATCAGCATAAATTCAACTTAGTGGTAATATTAAAATATATAGCATCTTGTAATAATCAAGCAGCCAGATCCATTCCAACTCGGGTACATCACCCATTCTTGTCACAATCACCAAATGCACATCTAAAAAGCCATTATTTTAAAAAGTTTAAATAGTAGGAGAAAAGGTATGGGAGGGCATAACAGAGTTTTTGCCTGTATTTTGATGCCTTGTTTCATTTTGCTGTGTCTCTTATAAACAGATGTGGTTTCACCCACCCTGTTGGCCCCCATCTCTTGTGTTCCTGCTTCCTTGCCAATGCTTTATATGTTATATTGTTTTTCCCCAAAATCCACTTCAGTTGTTGAATCTGGGGTGGGGTGTTTTTTTTTTGTGCTTTGCTTTCTGTGATTCTTACTTATGCCTGGGGGGGAAAAACAGTTCTTTTGGGGAGGAGGCTGCTATAATGCTTGGAAGTAATGGTCGGATTCATTTGTGCTTTTATGCAGGAGTTTCAAGAGGTGTGGGGTTTATCCGGTTTGACAAGCGGATTGAAGCTGAAGAAGCCATCAAGGGCTTGAATGGGCAGAAACCTCCCGGGGCCACGGAGCCCATCACTGTAAAGTTTGCCAACAATCCAAGCCAAAAAACAAATCAGGCCATCCTCTCCCAGCTGTACCAGTCTCCAAATAGGAGGTATCCAGGACCTCTTGCTCAGCAGGCTCAACGTTTTAGGTACGTGGAACTGTACATTGTTTCTTATCTCAACCATTCTGGAATTTTTTTTCCCAACCAGTATCACTCTAGAAATATATTTTCCTCACATGAGAACTGTTGGTTGTTAAATTTAATATCTGACAGACATAGCAGAAAATACTTTGAGGTACTGCCATCTGTTGGTAGCTATAAAAAGAAGAGAGTTTTATGTAGGTAGGTAGTAATATTTAACTGGAAAGTATCTGTCGTTCAATTTGCGCGATGCTTTTAGGAATATTTGTTAAACTGTTAGAATAAGACGTTTCTACAGAGTTAGAAAAACCTGTCTAAATCCTATTTCTAGACAAAGTCTTCTTTACTTTGAAATAAATCCTTTTTTTTTTTCTTCCCTGCAGTGGAGTCTTAGTAATTATTCTGCATCCTTTTTGGAATGGGGAGAAATGGATTTTTTCCCCCAGTAGTTTTCCATTATTTTGTATGGATCTCTCTTCTCATGACACACAGTGCTATCAACCATACGTTTTTCCCTGTCATATTTTAGTGCACTGAAAAAGACAGATGGCGTGAATTGAAACAAATACTGTATTAATCTACATTCACTAACTGCTCGGGGCTTTTATTTTAGTGTTGTTTTATGAAAGATTTGTGTTCGAGAGAGGGGGAGATCAAGAGATGGGATAAACAGGCTTATTTTGAACTTGATGCTATTTTCCTGTGTGAATGCAAGAGAGAGAGAGAGATTAGTTGTGCTCATTAAGTAGCAGAAAACTCAGATAAACTTTGTTTTGTAGAAACTTTGGGACTTTAATTAAAAACAAACAAACAACGTGCTTATTTAAACACCTGGCCAATGGCAGTCTCACCTAAACAACTTAATCCAAACAGCTTCTTTGCATGTTGTGCTATTAATTTATTCACCCAGGGTGGGAAAAAACATTCCTTCTAGTGAACCATTCTGTTGGAGAAGGGGGAAAAAAACCCAAATGGTTTTTTATTCAGTATTCAGTGGATTTCTGGAGTATTCAGTTTCTGCTCTGTTTTGTTGTTCAAAGGATATTCTGTGAAGCCGCTGAATATTGAATAAAAGTAGACTTGCCCTTTCTCCATAGGCAGACTGCCTGCTCCAGAACTGAGGGCAGAGTTAGCAATGGTCAGAAGAAGAATTCCAGATTGCCTCGTGCCTGAAGTAAGGCCACTGGGGAATTGTTGCTGCACTGACATGAACAAGAGGTAAATGAACTTTTGCAGAAATAGCTGGTGCCAGGGTTGGGGCACGCAATCTCCAGTGGCCTTAAAAAACCCTGACTAGATCTTTCTCACAGTGCCATGGGCTGCCGGCTTATCGTCTAAAGAATGTTCATTATATCAGTGGTAGTGGTAGATGACTCTGAAGGGGATAGGCCCTGAATGCTGGAAATGTGCGTTACAGGTTCGGAAATGGAGGAACGAATCCTAAGGTTGCCATTAGTTTTTGACCGCGTTTTCCATTCCACAAAAATAGACTTCACTGCATTTCATTTCATTTTCTTTTTAAAGCAGCACATTAGATCATGTTGTCTAGAGCAATTTTAACATCGAATGTTAAGGATTGCTTGAGTTTTTAATCCGTTCTGCTCTGTGATTTGTCAAATAAAAGAGCCGTGTATTCCAAATGAGAACGGTGTTGCTTGCTCGGTTCATATTAACTTAGGCATTGTTCGGGTTCCTCTCTGAAATTTAGGAAGACATTGCTACATTGCTAAAATCTAGAAGAGTGTATGTGTGTGTGTGTTTGCATAGATTTTAAAGAGCTTACCTTTGCAGTTGTCTTCGATGGGTACTAGATCTAGCTCTAGTACACTGAGGCAAATACATTATGCTTGCCATTGCTGTACTCTTACTACTGTTGTTAGTCAAAGTGTTTTAAAGGCAGTTAAAGAAAGCTTGAAGGCCTCAGAGGCTGGGAAAGTATATGCGTACTTTGTAACTCTTTATTTGGCACCGGCTGTAATAAGCATCAGACTTTAAGCAGAAACTCACATAAAATAGCAACTTTAGCTTGAGTACACAACTTGAGTCTGTGTGACTGTTGTTAGGCGATTTTATTATTCATGCCATTCTGTAAATTAAAATCTGGATCTTTAGAACACTGGAAAGTATTTCCACAAGTCGTAAGTTACTGCAAAGGTTGTGCAGATAGTCCTCAACTTACGAACACAATTGTTAAATGAGTTTTGCCCTGTTTTATGACTTTTCTTGCCACAATTGTTAAGGGACTCCTGCAATTGTTAAGTTAGTAACACAGTTGTTAAATGAATCTAGCTTCCCCATTGACTTTGCCTGTAAGAAGGTCACAAAAGATGATCACATGAGCCTGGGACACTGCAATGGTCATAAATACTGTATGAATTTTGATCATGTGATCATGGGGATGCTACAAAGATCGTAAGTGTGAAAAATGGTTACGTCATTTTTTTTCAGTGCTGTTATAAGTTCAAACAGTCACTAAACGAACTATTGTTAGTTAATGACTGTCTGTAGAGACAAGATTAAATGTGTTGGTTTGGATATTTTTCCAGAAAACAATCCTCGGTGATGAATTGCATTGTAATATAAAACCATACAGGTGAAATCTTCATGTCTTGTATTGAAGTGAGACAGCTGAGTCAAGGAATACCAGTTTTTCTGTCTCTTTCAAGGGTTTCCTTAAGGATAGTCATTTCAGTGCATGGTGCTTCATAATGCAGTGAAAATTTCGCAAAAGGTTGAAGCTTGGAAGTATTAGAGGTGTGTGAATTGTACTGGAGGCTTTAAATGGATATCCTCTAAAACAGTGGTCTCCAACCTTGACAACTTTAAGACTTGTGGACTTCAATTCCCAGAATTCCTCAGCCAGCAAAGCTGGTTGAGGAATTCTGGGAGTTGAAGTCCACAGGTCTTAAAGTTGCCAAGGTTGGAGACCTCTGCTCTAAAATACATCCTAAGATTTCAGAATATGAGTCTTCCACCAGCACGGAGAGAACAGTTACTAAAATGCTTGATACAATATGTTTTTATATGTTGCTTACTTGGTAAATAAAAATGATTCCTTGGATTGCCATTATCAAGAGTGTTGATAGTTTAATAAAGCTATGATTCAGGTTAGCTTTGGCAGGGGAGCTAACCTTTTCCATGGGCAGATATACATTTTTTGGAATTTACTATTGAGAACGACAATGAACAGGGGAGCAATAATGCAAGGAAGTCAGCAGAGGGCACAGTGCTGAAATTTGTTATTCTTTTCCCCTGCTTTGGGGGTATTTTCCACTGTTTCATTATTGGCGTTTTATTTCCTGAGAAAAAGACAGAAGTAAATTGCATCACTTTTTTTTTTCTTTTTGTCAGAATGTTAAGTTCCTTCTAGGGAGTTTAAGAGAAGGAGCAAAGCTGGTACTGAATCCAGTCTGTGAAAAGCTCATTCTGAGTTGCAGAAACCAATAATATTAAATCAGTAGTTTTAACTCATGCCATTGCATATCTACCTGCAGCTGCCTAAAGAAGATGCCAAAAATGTCAGCTAATCTTAGCAGGTTAATTATGTGCAGCAACCAAAGTAGCATTTTAATATCTGACTAGATTCCACTTCTAAACATACAACATTGAAAAAAATGCTATTGTTTTTATGTTCCTTATTTCACATTGGGAAACAAATTAATATATAAACTTGTACAAGCATAATTTATTTTTTTAAAAAGATCTGTACATTTTTCTGCCTGGATTTGTTTTGGAAATACAGAAGCAACTGAAACTTTAAGTCAGTCTGTGATTTGTTAATGGAGCTACCATTATACAAAGTTTTTTTTTTTTTTAAGTGGCAATTCATATTTCACTAGTGCTAGTTTGGTGTTCAGTCATTAATACTTGCATAACATCCTGGAGATGGAGATGGTAGGATTCAAATTATTGGCTACTGTTATTCACAAAAATAGATAGATGGAGACTGTTTTAATGACAACTTCTATACAATTCTTACTACTTGGTAATGGATGTAAATGACAGTTTTGTTAGAAGCTGTGTGTTTTACAATAAAGTTCTTGAAGGTGGAAGTAGTTAAATGGAAGCAGTGCTACTGTTAAAGCAAAAATAATGTCCTCTCTTCACTAAAATATAGAGGAAAATATTCTGTATGTATAACTACAATACAGTAATTCAAAAGCAGTATTACCTTTTGTGAATATCTTCCCATTCTTTATTCTCTCGAGGAACTTAAATGTGTGATAATTTGTATTCAGCTGGTTGAAAGACTTGAGTTCACATGCCAACAATCCCAGGTGAAATTGATAATTATTAGAATTTTGCATTAAAACATAAATATTGCTAGTCATCTTATTGTTAAAAGTTGCATCTTTGTTCCCAAACTGGTAAAATACATATTTCTATGCATTCAAAAATAATTTGATTTATCATCTTATAGGACATTTTTTGAGCTGGTTGATGTGCAAGTATTAGCTGAAATATCGATTTAAAAAAAAAAACAAAACCCTGTCAATTTACAATGTGGTTTAGAAACTTGTAAAGCACACAGCCCATTAATGAATATCGGTACTTCTCACATATTTTTCAATCCATTTTTAAAAAGGAAAAGAAAAAGTCTCCATCAGTGTTTTTCTCTCCCTTTTGTGCAATTGTTAATTAATAGTTAACATATTTTAGATTTAGGGAATGAAAGACTTTTAAAAGACTGGCCAAAAAAGCCTGTTATAAAAGTAAGAGCTCTACATTTGCTTCTACTTAAGCAAAATAAATCATATCTAATTATCAATATCTGAAGATAGCAGAAGTTATACCCAGATTTTGAATTTGTTATTAGGAGGTTTAACTGCAGAAATCATGACTCTTGTCAACTGCTTTTCAGTTGACTGAAAAGCAAGCCAAAATATTCCATGTTTGTTTCTCCCCATTATTCTTTATACAAAGGACATTTTGGTTTGCTTTCAGTGATAAGTTGATAAATAATATGGAACAATCTTAATACGCTTTTCATCATCAGCATCTCCCCCCGCTCCCGTGTTAATTAAGCCAGAAGCAAATTTATAAATCATTTTACATCTTTTAGATAGGTGAATTCCTTCTTGGAATGATGAAGACGGTCATGACCATACAGAAAGCAGAGTTTGGGTTGGAATAAGGATAAATATCAGGATATTTGAGATCTTGATACAATTTCTTTGTCGTTTGGAAGGCTGTAGCCAGAAATAAAAATCAAGATAAGATTCGTAACCTAGGAATTTCAAGTTATTATATATTATGTCACAGCTAAAGCTGTTCTAGTTTTGAAAGTAATGACTCAGCATCCATGTGAGTGTTTCTGAAGAAAAAGTTTTGGTATATATGATAAATATTTTGGCATTGTCCACTCAGTTGTAGTAAACTAGATTGCTTACTTATTTTTCTGAATTTCAGAATCAGGATACTGACAGATTGTTGATACTGACAAGCATTTCATTCTGATATAACCACCATAAGGGTGTTTTAAAGGACAATAACAGTTATGGCATACAAAGTTTAGACAAAAGAAAAATTGGCAGCAACTTTAAATGTTAACAGTCCACAATCTAGTCTAACCAAGCACTGCAGCACCAGATGTTCTTTTACTTCGGAAAGGCTGTGTATATTTGCATTCTCTTGTAAGTTGCACATTGTAGCTTTTCTGGAAATGGGGGAAATGCATCTAAAATATATCTTAATGTGAATTTAAAAGAAAATGGGAGCCAGTTTTGCAATGCATATGTCCTCTTCTCATAACTTATCTTTAAAGATGGCAATCATTTTCATTGAGGAATATAGTTAATATTATAGCCTGACTTGCTTTGATTTTTCAGCAATTATTTAAATCCAGCATTACCCTAAACATCATTTGTATTACATTGGAGCAAACAACTACTTGGTTTGTAAAAAGTTCATACTTCGTGATAAATCAAATGTTAAGACTAAAAAAAATTGGGATTCCTTTTGTTCTTTTATGCTAAAATGGTAGCTTTCTAACATAGCTGCAGTTTCTGGCAATAGATGGCTAAATCTTGCCATCTTAAAATGTATAGAGCATCAAGATAATTGTAATTATATATTCATAATCTAAAATCTTGAGAAATAAAATTGCTATTAGATTTTCTGCAGAATAATGTTATGTATGCACTCACACACAGACATACTTTTCATTCATTCATCCCGAGTTTTCAGAGAAAGGCATGAAAATATTGGCAAAATTGTTTAATCTTCGGTGTTCATATTTCTAAAAGGATCATTATATTAAAATATAGCATCTGAACTAGATTAATGTGCATATTGTATCACTTCAGACATACCTAATGGTCTTGCTTATCCAGAATTAAAAGACTCAGTCTGAGTGCCTTTTTTTTACATAATTATATAATGTCAACTGAACTTGAAGCTGTATTTATGAAGTTTCTTGGACAGTATCTTTTCAGCAAAATTCAAGCAATGCCAATGTATAATCATTACACAACTGCAATTTTGCATACAGTGCAGTTCAGAAAATCTAGCAACATAACTTAACAAAGTAAAAGTTTGAAAGGCTAAATAAACCTTTTGCTAAATGTGTTTTGCAGGTTGGACAATCTGCTCAATATGGCTTATGGAGTAAAGAGGTAATAACAAATTGTGTTAAATCCATAATTAACTTTACTAATAACTTATTGTTTGAACTAAAAATATTGGTACTTCATGTGTGCGATATTGAGTGATCTTTGCATGTACAAAGGTTAAACAGTCATTTTATCAGCTTTCTAGCATTTTTAGGGCACCAGTATCTGCCATTTAAATGACTTATTTGGAAGTCTTTTGTATCGGTCTTTCACTTTGAAAGAATTTGGATGTCTTATATACTCAAAAGACATTTTAACAATTAAGAGGCCACCACCAGGTGTGTGTTTTTTTAGTCATCTTCTGTATGTATAACAAGCAGGTACAGATTTGGAGCAATATTAAGGATACCATATCAAGTATGATATTTTATATTCTCTAAAAAGTTAAGAAGAAGGATTATAATAATTCCATAAGGCCATTTAGAGCTTGAGTTTCAAGATGTATGTTTCATGTAGGATTTGTTTGTTTGTTTTATCAAATTTATATAGCCGCCCATTTAGCCAAAGGCAACTCAGGGAGGTACACAACAATAAATAAACCAAAACCTAGACGTAACATCAGAAATCTGAAGCTATTTTTTTCTGTTAAATAAGTGTTCAGTTGTGTTAAATAATTTGCTAAATCCATGGTGAAACAACATGATAAAGATTGAATATGAACAATTGAAGGCAATACATTTGTACTTTTTACTTTTTCACCATTCTGTTATTAATATAATTGTCTTTTAAAAAAAAAATACATAGAGATGAGTTAATATTTTACTAAGGTTTTTAAAAGGAACTAAACAAAAGATTCCTGGAATTGAATACTAGCACTATAAACAAAACTCTTACTGTTCCTTTCTCTTTTTAAAAGAAGATATTGCTAGCCAGTCCTTAGCTAAAATAATAGAGATTTCTGTCTGATTGTGTCCATCGAAAAGCACAACATGAATTTTTAGTAGATGGATTCTCTCAACAGCACCTCTCTGCAGCCCATGTTCTGGAGAACTGGTATCTGGAGCCATCGGGGGGGGGGGAGATCCACTCACCTTTTAATAGGTACAGAGTTTTGAACAAAGCTAGTTGTTAAAATTAAAGTGCTTAGTTTTTATATACTATTTTTGTTTAGACTATTCCCAACACACAAAATGCAAATTCTCAAGAACCTTGGTTAACCACATTCCAAACGTGGCAATCACAATATTCCTTAGGCTTTCTAATAGCTGACTACAGTTTGCTTTTCTGTCATATCAGCATTGAAAGTAATTAATTAGTCAGTTTATCTACAGCCCAGGCAAAAAGCAGAATAATCTGATTTGAGAAAGACTTAACTACAGAACATCACGGCAACTATATTTTATTGTTCGCAGTAAATTTGTATTAAAGTCACATAAGTGGCACATCCCTTTGGTCAAATGGCACTATAACATTAATCAAGTGCTTTTTTAAAAAATATTTTTATCCTGCTTTTATTGTTTTTATTTATTTATTTTATTTTATTTATTAAATTTATATCCCGCCCTTCTCCACGAAGGGACTCAGGGCGGTGAACAGCCGAGAATTAAAATAACATGCAATATAAAAGTTAAAATAATTAAGAATAAATTAAATTAAACGGCCACCCCAATTTAAAATCCCTAGCAATACAATTAAAAACCCCTAAAACCTATTCAGGCCAGGCCGGCTTGCTGAAATAAAAACGTCTTCAGGGCCTTACGGAAAGTGCGGAGATCCGGAATCAGCTGTATTCCGGGAGGTAGCTCGTTCCAGAGGGCAGGTGCTCCCACAGAGAAGGCCCTCCCCCTGGGGGCCGCCAGCCGACATTGCTTGACCGACGGCACCCTGAGGAGGCCTCTCTGTGAGAGCGTATTGGCCGGTGGGAGGTTATTGGTAGCAGCAGGCGGTCTCGTAAATACCCTGGCCCTAAGCCATGGAGCGCTTTAAAGGTGAGAACCAACACCTTGAAGCGCACCCGGAAGACCACCGGGAGCCAGTGCAGCTCACGCAGGAGAGATGTTATATGGGAGCTCCATGTCGCTCCCGTGATCACCCGCGCGGCCGCATTCTGGACCAGTTGGAGCCTCCAGGTGCTCCTCAAGGGGAGCCCCATGTAGAGAGCGTTAGCGTAGTCCAGGCGAGAAGTGACGAGAGCATGAGTGACTGTGCATAAGGAATCCCGACTCAGAAAGGGGCGCAACTGGTGTATCAGGCAAACCTGATAAATTTTATCAATAACATAGGCCACAAAAACACCTAATAATCCTTCCTCTTCCTGTTTTCCCCACAATTGCCTTATGAGGTGGATTGGGCTGAAGGAGAGTCGCCCAAAGTCACCCAGCTGGCTTTCATGCCTAAGGCAGAACTAGAATTCAAAGTCTCCTTGTTTTCTAGGTCAACTTCTTAACCACTACACCAGACCGCCTTTGCATATGTCTATAAATAATGTAACAAAAATGCATACTTCAAGGAAGAAACAATTGTTCCACCAGATGTAGGCAGAAAGGCACTTAGTTTAAGTTTCTTAAAGCATGTTGATATATAAAAATAGATTCTAATCTTGAAAAAAGTTTTCTTCTAAAAAAAGAATTTTGTCTTTCTTTCTTTCTTTTTTTACCCTTTAACTTGGTTAGCAGGTTTTCTCCAATGACCATTGATGGAATGACCAGTTTGGCTGGGATCAATATCCCAGGACACGCGGGAACCGGATGGTGCATTTTTGTGTACAATTTAGCTCCTGATGCAGACGAGAGCATCCTGTGGCAAATGTTCGGACCCTTCGGAGCCGTGACAAACGTGAAGGTTATCCGCGACTTCAACACAAACAAGTGCAAAGGTTTTGGATTTGTGACTATGACAAACTATGACGAGGCCGCCATGGCAATAGCCAGCCTGAATGGATACCGCCTTGGAGACAGAGTCTTGCAGGTTTCCTTTAAAACAAACAAAACGCACAAAGCCTAATGAGGTGTCCTCAGCCCAATTTATATTTGAAAACTATTCGACAAAGGCAAGTTAAAAGAAACTTTATACATTAGTAAATGTCTTTGTAAGTCAGTGTTGAGATGGGGGAATAACAGACTAGCATCCTAAGAAATATTGCGAGATTTTTTATTGCTAGTATTTGAATTAAACTTCTTAAATATCTTATGTTTGAAATATGGACAAGAGGTACAGGGTTTTTACCTGTCACAATGCATTCTATTGCCTTCTTTGAAGAAGGTGGACCTTTTAAAAAATGTTTGAGCTAAGGGAAGAAATTTTCTTTTACACGACTGCCTTGAACCTGTGAGTAGATATTAAGGCTTTGTGTTAAAATTCCTGAGTTAGTTAACTTTATGTTGTGTTTGAGTTACACTTTAATGCCTTGCTGTTTAGTCTGTTCAAGAAGTGTTTTGAAGTTTACATTTTTATTTATAAAGTTTAAGAATATTTATTTTGTAATTATGATTTGGGTTGGGGAAGGGGGGTGGTGCATTATAAAAGCCTATTGTAAGATTAATGGAGAACTTTTCGTAAAGCTGTACCTTGCCAAAGAGATAAGAGCCTCTTTGATGTGGGTTTAAAAAAAAAACAAAGCATCTATTTTTATAAAAAAGAGAAAATTTGGAGAAACTTTTTACAGGTCCTGGAACAAATATTTTGACTTGAATACTTTGAGAAATCTCTTCATATGACACCTAGTGAGCTTTTAAAACTTACCAGGAAATTTGCAGTGGTTGGGGGAAAAGACTTTAGAGCGATTTATGATGTAGAAATTCTTTAAGAGATCTTTGTTACTCAAGAAATGGAATCACTGGGAGAAAGCACTGCTGGTTTTGGTTTTGTAATCGTTGGTGCAATCTCTGAACATCCTGGTTACTATGTGATAGATGGCTCACATTAAACTTGTGATTTTGAAACAGAAGAAAATTTAAAAGTATATAAGAGCAGGCAAGAAATTTAAATTAACTGAGATGGGGGAAAAATCTGTTCTTCCTATAGAATTCCCTTCAGATAGAGCTCACGGTGTTTAGTGATGTACTTGCAGTATTGTTTGAAGAATTGTTTTGTCTTAAAGAAAAAAAAAAGATGTTTGCACATGGTTTGCATAGTGGCAGACCAGGAAAAAAACAGTCTTGCATTGGATATATTTGAAGGTATTTTGAAAGTTATGTTCAAGGCTAACACCTGAGCTTTGTGTAATGTAAATAAGATCTTTTGTTGATGAACCTCTTTTCAGCTAATACTTCGAGTTTTCTTCTGGTTTTTTATTTTCTTTACTTAACATGCCAAGTGATGTTCAACTGTTTTTGTATTTTTTTTTCTTTGTAAATGGCATTAAGATTGTTACTTGAGGTCTGCTTATTCATTTTTGTTGTCCTGAGGACTTGAATTTACAGTGGATCAGATACGTTGCAAATTTTGTCTGTAGATAGTCTAGCTTCAGCTGTTTATGGTGATGCTACTTTTTTTGTTTATAAATATGTTTGTGGTAAAAAAAATGAGTATAACCATAGGTTTTGAACAAATTCCTTACATTTTTCATACCAGAATCATAAATACCTGTATGCTATTGAAATTTAACTTTGTATGATGCTTAAAATCACTTATTTGGGGAAATAATAAAGTCTTTACCATGTATGGAAGAAATTTAAGGTCAAAAAGTACAAATATTTTCTGATTAGCATCTAGCTTATAATAAATTTTTAAAAAGCTGAAGGCTGCTGTGCCTTCACCGGGATGCCCTGACAACTATATAGTTACGTCCTGCTTTTTGTATAAACTGAGATGCTCACATGCTTCCCCTTAGAACAAGCAATGTGCTATGCATAACATACTTGTACATGATCTTTGCAGTTGCTTTTTTTGATTATTTCTTTTTTTTTTAAAAAAATCGTAGTTATAAATTTTCAGTATAGTACAGTACATAAAACTGTTGGAAGAAGAGTGTTAAAGTGAAAGCGATTGTTCATGCTAGACGCATTCAATGCTATTCAAATCGATTGACTTTCTGAAAGACGTTCACTTGAGGTGCGATGAGCAATTGTTCTGTACTAACACAAACACTCTGCTTTGGAAAAGAACAATAGTAATAACAACAACAATAAAGAGATCCGTTCTGGGGAGGTGGGGGGAACGTAACTATACTCTGCTACTATATTCTACGGTAGCAAGATCAAAGCATTGGTGAGGAAGGCATGTCTATCAGGCTTCACTTTACACTGTTTAACAGAGCACTTAATAAAATGTAAGGCTGGTATTTATTTGAAGTTGTACAGTATGACTTAATTCACATCTGTTGGAGTAGAAAAATATATTCTGTTGAGTATTTAAAAGAGGCTGTACATGTTTTCTTTTGTGTTTGGATCCTTTGTACTTTTTCATGTTCAGTACATCAATAAACAAAAGTTGAAGGGAAAGAACACTGTGGTGCAGAGGTCTTTTAATAGTTCATGTTTCTTTTGAACGTCCTTCCCTGGGTTTATTTTTCCTCTAGGTTTTTAAGTTAAATTCAAACCCCTCAAAATCTAAACGGCTTAGATATGCCACCACATCTTGGTGTCCTAGTACAATGTGAAATTCAAGTCTTAAAACCTACGTGCATGGTAAGCTTTCCTACTCAGTATTTCTATTCAGTAACCCCATATCAGAAGAAAACTTTTAAAAGCTGTGTTTCCTAGGATGCATTATTTTCTGAAGAATTAGTACTTGAGACTTCTGTATCAAGAAAGAGGAGCGTTTCAAGGAGCATCAGATCAAATCATAGAACAGACAGCTCTAATTTATATGCATATACACCATTCTAAAAGAACTTAGTTAAAATAGAGATGATGATCTCTTCTTCAAATTGTAATGAAGTGGCAAGCCAACGGTGGAAAAGTCAATTGATTAAATTTGTGAAGTATATCATTTTAGCAGCTGCTAAAATAAAAATAGCAACCTTAAACTCAACTTGTTTAGCTAATGTAACCGTCCTTTTTATTTTTCCATTTTTTGACACACACCCCTCATTTCAAAAGCACGTTGGTGCAACCTGCATTCTTGTCTGCTCATTGGTTGGCATCCAGTGTTGATGTATGACACTAAGAAATTAAGCTTTTATTGAAGATGGCATCAGTTTACATAGATTGCTAATACTTTCAAAAACACAGTGATTGCTGTAACTCTAACCCTTGTGAGAAAAACAGAATTTCGGATGATTTTCGGTGTATACCGCTGATAAGAGTAAGAAAACTCAACTTGGAACGCATCTGCCAATGGAGAAGATGATAGAATCCAGAATTTGCCTATTTCTGCAACCTGGATTAATTCTCAACTTGTATCTACTTTTAATTATTAATGAAAATCTAGAAATTATCTTTCCATATAGTGAGGCTTAAAGGGGTAAATTATCTTAATGAAGGATTATATGAAATAGAATTTGCTATGCATTGAATTTAAAGGGGAATTCACTATATTCAAAATTCACTTTTGAGATAGGGATAATTAATAATTATTCCAGAAATATTTACTATTCCTTGTGCTCAGATATTTTTTATATACAAAGTCAAATGCACCATAATTCAACTTTGATGGATTGCAATGAAAGAGCTTGAGATTCCTTTCTAGCCATTTTGTTCTAGATAAATTTTTATGTGATAGAAGTCATGGCTCTAGCTGGGATTTTGCAGAAATTTGCAATGTAGTATTCAGCATATCTATAAAATTAAGTATATTGGTTTTCACTTAAAACAGCAAGCCTTAACTTCAGTTTTGCATGCACATTTTCCTCTCCATGATTTGGAGCAGTGTTTTCATTCCAAAAATGAAATTGTGACTTCACCTCATACAGTCCCCCCAAAAATTCCCCACACACAAAAAAGAAAGTTAATAGCAGTGACAATATATAGTGGAATGTTAAAAAGCTGGAAGGGTTACAAACTGCAATGAGATTCCAGGATGTTTTATACAGGAATCTATAAATTACAGATAGGTTACATATTATACATAACCAAGCATCTATGAAATTGCATCATGATAATCAGAAGCTCAGCGGTTAAAGATGCTGAGCTTGTCAGCTGGAGAGCTGGCAGTCTGGATTTGGGACCAGAGCTCCACACAACGGTTGAGCTCCCATTAGTTGCCCCAGCTCCTGCCACTTAGCACTTTGAAAGCATGCAAATGGAAGTAGATTAATAGGTACCACTTTGGTGGGAAGGCAACAGCATTCCATGTGCCTTTGGCTTATAGCCATGCTGGTCTGGCCACATAACCATGGAAATTGTCTTCGGACAGTGCTGGCTCACTCGGACAAGAAACGGGGATGAGCACCGTGTCCTAGAATCAGACACAACTGACAGGAAAAACTTTACCTAATCAGAAGCAACATATGCCACAAAAGAAATGGTACTGATGTCATAGTTTTCATTTCTGTACCAGTGGTGGGTTTCTACCAGTTCGCCCTGGCCACCCGCCTGGACATCATCATGGACGTTCTGTGCACGCGCAGAAGCACCACAGGTGCGAAGCGCGCATGCTCACAGTTCCAAACCGGTAGCTAAGGTAAGTGAAACCCACTACTGTTCTGTACATATTTGTTTGATAGGTAGCTGAATCCCCAAAGATTTGAAGGTAATTCCTCAAATGGCACTTAAATACCATGAAATGAAAGCTAAAACAATTGCCTGCAGAGTAAAAATCAAAAGGTATAAATGCAAGCTTTTAAAAGAATGAAAGGACAAAAAAAAATTGGGGGAAAGCTTTTTCTTTAAACAGACAGTCAACTTTTATCTAATGTCATATATATATAATTTGGATGCCTAGTGATTTTCTCTGAAGATCAGAAGATCCTGAAGAGCAGGCTAAATTTCTTGTTTGAGGGAGTTATTTTTAGCAAATACAAGGATAAGTGACCTCAATTGACACCAATCATCCGGTAGATTTTAGCAGTGGAGTGGATGAGAAGATTTACTTCCATATGATCAGTTTTCATTCTTTCCTCTCTGAGATGTAAATTCTAATGATAGAATCTCATTTACTACATACTAATTCAGTTTCTCACTCATGCTTACATCATAGGCCTCCATATGCGCAACTCATTCAACAGTTGTGAGCTACTGGTAATGCACAACCTGGGATCAAAGTTTTTGTTTCCTTTCCTTCAGAGGAAAATACATTCGGGCAGAATATATCCCATGAAAGCAGTTTGCAAGCTACTGTTAGGCAAAGGCTGACTTAACAGTTTGGCTTGCATTCTCCATACTACATTCTGGATCGTCAAAAACATAAGGCTTGGCATGAACCTAGGGAAATCTGGCTGTATTCTTTCTTAGTTAATGAATTCTCTGGTTAGCGTAACTTCCCAAACGTTTTCCCCACCACAGGTATTCCCTGAACCAAACCCATAGACCCAATCAACTGAATTTCTGCTGCCGATTGCAATAAGAAGCTTATTTAAAAGCTTATAAATAAATAAAGAGTTTTTATAAATAAAGAGTTTATAATGCCCTGCTATAAAATAACATACAATTTTTAAGGAAATGAACTATGGATATAAGCATCCTATTTAAACTCTGCATGTTGATTCATCAGCTTTAATCAGGTTTGGGCATCATTTTCAGCCTAGATCAGGGCTGTCAAATTCACGGCCTGCGGACTGGATGCATCACATTCTGGCCACGTCCGGTTTAGCGAAGGGGAAAAAGTCACGATACGTCACATGACAATGCGAGTTTGACACCCCAGCCTAGGGGCACAGTTATACTTTCTGTTTTGCCTGGGAAATTTGGTAGATCCTGGCTAATAGCTAAGATTTTATTGAATTTTATTCTTAAATTTCCTCAATGCCCCCTACATAAAAAGAGTGAATATTCAGAACTATCCTCTTTATGGTGCCAAGGGAGATTCCAGGTGTCCCACCTAGGCCTTTACTTCAGATTGGAGTTCAGGTGCACAGTTGTTTATACTGAGCAGGACATTTTTGACCAGAGTTGGCAAAACATTTAGCATCTAATTGAGTTGAAAATCTTTGCTACTGTTAATAGAACTTTGGAAATGTCTCTATTTTGAGAATTTGCAATGAACCACATAGATTTTTAATCATTGTACATGGGTTGTCCATTAAGCCTTAATTGAGAAAATGATATTTCATCTGAATCATCTGCTCCTCAGTGGCTGGTGACATAATCAACTAAATAGGACCTGGTACAATTGCTGATTACTACTTTTGAAATGTTAACCATTTCTGATTGTAGGTTAACAATTCTAACTGGGCAAGCATAGACAATTCACATTATGTATAATGCTCTAAATTTGTTGACTAATTTGCTGAATAAATGTTACATCTGATGTGGGGAACCTTGTATATTAAACTGATTTTAGAATTCTCTTTTAGAAGGCTCAGTTGAATAGGGGTCTGGATCAAAATATATTCAGCTGTGATGTAAGATTATCAAAGTGAGGTAAAATATGGAATCTGCTGGGATTGTTCAAGCTGCAGAGCCTATCAACAGCTGACAATCTGAGTGCCAACTTGTTTGTTTCTTTAAGACTTACAAACTTCACGCTATCCATATAGCGCTCTCTCCTTTCAACTTGAGCTTTTTGTCCTTTATTAAAACGAAGTTTTATGTACCACTTCAAGCGGTGATGGTACATTTAGTGCCCTTCTTGGCTCATGGGCTTGGAAATTTAAGAAATAGAACTTAGCAAAAAAAAAAATTCTCTCTCTCTCTGCCTAGAGTTTGTTCTGCCTCTGGGTTTTCCATCTGCATGAAGAGAGAATTTCACTGTTAAGTGTTAGGTTCAGGCAGTGTAAAAGGATTTCTTTTCTAAACCAGATTAAATTGTAAGGTTTTCTGTCTCCTTATTTGTATGTGCATCAACGGCTGCACATACACATACACAACTACATGGTTTTCTTGCTGTTGCTTATTTATCATAAGCATAAGTAGAACTTTAACATTTAATCAGTAGGTTAGTATCTCAAATCTTCCTAATTAATGGGTAGGGGTAACTTTTAATTAGCCTGTAAATTAAGTATACTTCTTGCGTTACAGTTACAGGAAAGGAAAAATAAATTATACAGAAGACGATTCTTAATAAATTAGCAGTATACAGGACATACCCTATAAACAAAATTGATAATCTAAAGGAGACCATTACATTAGAATTTGCAAACATCAAAAATAATTTTAATGTGCGTAGGAATGTTCAAAGATCAAGCATGAATCAAGTAAGGAAGTATTTAGAAGAGAACCACAACCAATTCAAGCATGTAATGTAATTTATATAATCAATTGTCCCCGGAGCCTATAGCTTGCTAGTACACTCTGTGTGTGTATATATAAACACACACACATATACTCACACAGCCTATCCCATGTTCTCTTCAATTCCCTCTCTCCAGTCCCCATTCCTGCCCAACACAAAACTATGTAAAATT